TAATATTTTTTATGCAATTTATTAGGGAAATGTATGCTGTAAAAAAATATTTGTTTAAAATAAATAGGGACATTTCAGCGCCTACCTGCCATTACGATTTATCAAATAATCAACAGAAATAGGAATTACAAATTGAAGCATATCATCATCTTAAATTAAAAAAGCTATTCTTTATATTTATTTTGTAAGGATGAATTATTTAGATGAAAATACAACAGTATCGTATTGAAAAAACTTTACAATCCAATAAATTTGTGATGTTATCTCCTGAACAAATTAACCATTCTGAATTCTTCTTGATGAGTTTCAGGGATTATTCACACCATATAATCAACTACGGTATTGGTACGACATCGGATTGAGACAGGTAAGTCCTGGATATTTCCCAATTCACGAGTTTCTCGAAATCTCAAATAAATTTTTTGAATAACGATATTCTGAATGCACTTTTCCTATATGAGAATGTAAATCTATGAATATTACAATAACTAATGCAATGGCATTACGTCCGAAATGAATTTTGCTTATGAATAAGAAAATCGAATTATATATTACCTTTACCGTCTAAAGATCACTATTTATTGAACCATTCACTGTTGAACAATGATTTTATGGATGAAATTATCAACTGTGGAGAACAGGAGCAAATAGTTAATCAGATTGGGTGATACCAAAAATATCAGTTATTTTAAAACGAATTTATATATCGGATAAAATAATTAACTTAAAGAAAGGATGCTAGCCTATTTGCTTTCGCTGATCATATGGGATATTTGCTATTAAATTCACGTGTAAAATTGATTTAATAGCAGAATTCTCCTTGGTATATGTGGATGGGATGGCAAGAGTTACCAAACTTTTGTTCTCAGGCGGAATTAGATATCCATATAATAAATCTTGAAAGAAATATTCTATACCTAAATCCGTCTCGATTTAAGAATAAAAAATAATTAAATTTTCTTAAATTTCTCTTTCGTGTTGTACCCATAGGTATAAGTTAGGTAGCAATTTTTACATCCTTTTCCTTCTTTTTATCCCTTGATTTTTTTTATTGTTTCATGTTCAATAACGAAACTAACGAATATTTATTCACTCATTTATTTTTATTTATTTTATTTGAATCTTACCGTTACAAAAAATAATAACGAAAGTCGCATCTTTTATTATAATAAAAGTTGCACCCATTGTCGGAGACAACTCTTTATTATAAAAAAAAAATTAATATTTAAGGTCTATCAAGGGCTAATATTTTTGTTTTTGGAATAGGGCCTTTCCTTTTCTTTATGTTTCACTTTCGGTTAGCTCCCTTCTAAAAGTATTAGATTGGTTTTTTTTAAGATTTTTTTTATTTATTGTTTTTTTAAAATACATTTTTTTTTTATTCAATTTTTTTTTTTTTTACGAAATCGATGATTTTCATCATTCTGTTTTTGTAGAAATTTTTGTAATACAGTAACTGTTTAAAAATATATATAAGATTTCGGATACCAATTTAGTTAATTTAGTTATATATATTTGGTAGGGAAATAAGATAAGCGGGAAAATAATCCAAACAGACTAGTATATTTATGGAAAAAATTATAGAAGGGAAAAAAATTTAACCGAGGGCTGAATAAAGGAGTCTTTCTATTGGTAATTTATATGCAAGAAAAAATAAATAAATAATGCTATTAAAATGACACATTGTAATAACAATTCGAATAATAAAAAATGGTTATAAAAAACAATTTAGAAAAATCCGTAAATAACTTGGAAGCGAGAATTAAAGAGTTAGAGCAAAGTAACGAAGGGTTACGTTCACAATTCAAATATTTAGAAGAAAGGGTCGGAGCGAGTGAAGAAGAAACTAAAGTCAAGCAAGAAATTATTAATGATTTAGAAGTCAAGGTTAGAGAACGAGAAGCAGCATCCAAAGCCAAGCAAGGAACTATTATTAAATTGGAAAAAAGGATTAGAAATCTTGAATTGATTATCTATGGTATTGACAGGTTAAAAATTACAAATACTAATAAGGATGGCATATTAAACACCACAGGACTGCAAAGATATCGAAAATTAACAACTCTTGATTGCTCTTATATTAAAATAACCAACTTACCAATTTTACCCAAATCCTTAAAGAATCTCATTTGCTCTCATACTCCAATAGCCAGCTTACCAACTTTACATAACTCCTTAACGGAACTCGATTGCTCCAAGACTAAAATAAATTTCTTACAAAATTTACCCAACTCCTTAAAGAAACTCAATTGCTCTGGTACTGAAATTACTAGTTTACCAACTTTACCCAAATCCTTAACGGAACTCAAGTGCTCTAATACTAAAATAACTAGCATACCAACTTTACCCAATTCCTTAAAGAAACTCTATTGTGATAATACGCAAATAACCAGCTTACCAACATTACCTAACTCCTTAACGAAACTCATATGCATTGACCATAACCCTAACTTCTTATCGGAACTCAATTGCATTGACTCCTTAGCACATTCTTTCAGCTTACCAACAACTTTTACCAATTCCTTAACGGAACTCTATTGCTCTAATACTAAAATAACTAGATTACCAATTTTACCCAACTCTTTAACGATACTCGAATGTAATAAGACTCAAATTACAAATTTACCCATTTTACCCAATTTCTTAATGATACTCAGTTGCTCCGATACTCAAATAACTATTTTACCAACATTACCAAATTCCTTAACGAAACTCAGCTGCTTTAGTACTAAAATAATCAGATTACCAACATTACCAAACTCTTTAATGGAAATTAATTGTAATGATACTCCAATAACCAGCGTACCAACTTTGCCAAACTACTTAAAGAAACTCAGTTGCACTAATACTAAAATAACAAGATTACCAAAATTACCAAACTCCTTAACGGAAATTTATTGCAATGATACACCAATAACCAGCATACCAACTTTACCAAACTCCTTAAAGAAACTCAGTTGTATTAATACTAAAATAACAAGATTACCAACATTACCCGATTCCTTAACGGAAATCGATTGCAACGACACTCAAATAAATAGGTTACCAACTTTACCCAACTCATTAACGAAACTCGATTGCTCTAATACTCAAATAACAAGGTTACCAACTTTACCAAACTCCTTAACATATCTCTATTGTTATAAAACACTGATAATTAGTTTACCAAATTTACCCGATTCATTAAAGATTTTCAACCCCGAATATTTAAAATTTTATAAATTTAATACTCGAACAAATATCCAACATTTTGATTTATTATATCATTTAGTAATTTAAATAAGATATTTTATTTTAACGAAATTTTTTTTACTTCATTTCATCTTAAAATCAATTTGATTGATTTTATTTCTTATTTATTAATAAATTATTAATTGACGTAAAATTATTGATAAATTTGAAGTAATATCTCTACATCAGTAATACGCAACTAATTTTGATGTTTTATCGACGAGTGGAGGAAATGATATTTGTGATTTTTAATAATATAGCTTTCTTTAGATTTTACATTTACTAATGGTCGCCCGTAGCAATATTTTAAAAATTGCGAAAATATCAAACCAATTTAATATGACGTGTTACTAATTATTATTATATTTATTATTTATGCCACAAATCAAATATAAAAATAATGTGTAAAGTTTAAAAGTTACATTATTAAAAAAGGCAAATTATTAAAGATGGAAAATTTCTTTTGAATGTCGTCTGAAGAAAATTCATCAGATGTAGTATTATTAATATTCAATTTTGAACTTGGTTGTGCTATTAATGCCATTGAAATTAATTCCATGAATTGGTGAAATTTATAATAAATCAACATCATGTTTCACTGTTATTTCTTTATATTCACCTTTAGATATTTGTGCAATATGTTAAAGAGGTACAATATAAATGAAATCCTTCAAATTGTGCAACCCAAACTTGAGTTGACTTTTCAGTATTTCTAACTATAGCATTGTTCCGATAAAAATCAAGTTTATTTTGAATTCAGGAGTTAGAATTGAAGCTTCAAAAATTTGTGAGAAAGGTGAAGGGCACTTGCACTTGTAAAACAGGTTTGAAGTATTTTTATTATTTTTTATTTATGCGTTAAGGCATTTTTCAATTTGTTTTTAGTCACGGTTAAAAATTTGGATAAAAAAGAATAATGGGTAAAAAGCAAGAATTATAGTCAACAATAGCTAAATAAACTTTTTTTAAAAAAAAATCACGAGGTGTTAGTCTCCAGGGGATAAAAAAGTTATTTCATATCATGATTTTCACAGCTGCGCTGTAAAATTCATTGATATTGTTACCGATCAGTTCTTTGATTTTTATATTTATAAACAAATGTAATATACTAACATAGAATTTATCATATCTAGTTATTCACAGATTCTTAAAACGAAATTAATCCTTGTGTTAAATTGAGAAATCTTTAATATCTTAAAATTGCAAAAAAATTTTAAATATATACTCTTTGATTAAATAACCTGTTGAAACAAATAAGCATTTTTTACTAAACTGCTATTTCGAATTTATTTATTAGCATAACCATTCTCAGGTAAATTGAGGCTGAGTCGCTTGTTTGTAATTTTCTTTAATTATCTTTTTATGTAGAATACCTATTTTCATTAAAAGGTATTTTTTGGTGGTTTACCTAGAACAAAATCGAAGGGAAGTAAAACTTTGATTGAATCTTCATAATTTTAGCACATTATATGATATGTTAAACTATACCAAATTGTAATTTGATATATACTTATTTTTTTTAAAATGGGCATGCTGTTAATAAAATTATTCATCTACATTCGGACTTGAGAAGTATAATCTGTTTTATTGCATGTATCAAGAATAATAATAGTCTTGGATTAATTTTCGTTATCTAAAATAACTTCTAAAGCTTCTTGTTTCTGCTCTCAATAATACTCTTGAAAAGTCATTGCGACTTATAGTTGATTCTGCAGAATATGTAAGAATTCGTTATGATTGTATTTTAAAAGCCTATGGAGTTTGCAAGTTGGAATTGTTTTTATTTTTTATATTAAATTAAAATTTAATTATTAACTTCAATTTGTAGATATTAAAATGAAAAGGCAGATTTAACTGAATTAAACTTATTATTTAAAATAATTATATACATGCTTACTATTTAGAATGTATTAATTTGATGTAATCTTTGTAGCTTTATTTTCTTTATTATGATGTTAATTCGTCGTCAATATTTTTTTTTAGAAAAGTAGCTAAGTGCATTTCTCTAAAGTGCTTCACCAGATAACATTGTAGCTTCTAGATTTTCGGATCGCTTCTGATTAAGAGAAAAGGTTTTTACCAATAAATAAGGATTTTTTTTGACCAGTATTTCTAGATTATTTTATGAAAATGACAACACATGTTTAATATATTCCTTTCACTTTCTTAAAAGCATTCCTTTACCATTACTAATTCATTAAGGACTTCACCTGTACAAAAAAATGTACTTTTACCACACCACGACACGACATTTCCCTCTAGGCATAACGAAAAATGGAAATCTTTGCTTTAAAATTTGAGAATATTCATTTTAAATTTTTATTTTTCAAAAAAAAATGATATCTACAATAAAGTTTTTTTTTAGTATCTGAACTTCAAAGTCGATACTTACAGCTAATAAATTTTTTTTCGCTGACAATCTAGCTTCGTGAATCTCTAACTTACAAAAATTTCTAGTAGTTTACAAATTATTTGTTTCTGAATAATTTATTCCTGTAGGAAGGTTTCTTTTTTGGTGGAGTTGATGATTAAAGTAATATACAACCCTATGTTTTAATGCAATATAGATTTAAATAATAAGCTATGTGCAACTCAGCTAAATAACCTTGAACTAATTATTAGGAACAGGTAAATTATGTATGTTCGCATCACACCAATAATTAAAAGACTTATTTCCTATTGCTTACATAGCATATACTCTTGAATGGAATGAAAATTTATATAAAACGGGCAGTGTCATTATCTCTATCATTTTCTTTAAAAAAAGGAATCAATAGCGTGTAATTTTCCTCTTACATAAAGTAACGAAATATTGTGTGCATTTTTATGAATGGATTTCATCAATATTTGTAACAAATTTTTCATAGAGATAACTTTCAGATATAAATAAATTTTTATTATGCATATACTTAATATAATTAACTTGAACAAAAAATTAAAAATTTAAAATATTACAAAAACATGAAGATTACCAATAGAGTTTTAAGGTGATTATTGATTTTTTAAATATTCAGGTTTAATATTTGTTAAGGAATCGGGCAAATTTGGTAAGCTAGTAATTTGGGTATTATAACAATAGAGTATTGTTAAGGAGTCGGGTAATGTTGGTAAGCTAGTAATTTGAGTACAATGACAATAGAATTTTGTTAAAGAGTTGGGTAAATTTGGTAAGCTGATTATTTGAGTATTAGAGCAACTGAGAAATGTTAAGGAGTTTGGCAACGTTGGTAAACTGGTTATTTGAGTTTTAGAGCAGCGAAGTTTCGTTAAGGAATTAGGTAATGTTGGTAAGCTAGTAATTTGAGTATCATGACAATAGAGTTCCATTAAGGAATAGGGTAATGTTGGTAAGCTAGTAATTTGAGTACTACAATAGAATTTTGTTAAAGAGTTGGGTAAATTTGGTAAGCTGATTATTTGAGTATTAGAGCAACTGAGAAATTTTAAGGAGTTTGGCAACGTTGGTAAACTGGTTATTTGAGTTTTAGAGCAGCGGAGTTTCGTTAAGGAATTAGGTAATATTGGTAAGCTAGTAATTTGGGTATCATTACAATAGATTTTTGTTAAGGAGTTTGGTAATGTTGGTAAGTATGTTATCTGAGTATAATTACAGTCGAGTATTTGTAATTTTCGATATCTTTGTAATCCTCCTAAGGTGTTGAATATGTCATTCTTATTAAGTTCCGTGATTGTCAAGTTAACTATTGTATCATCATAAATAATG